TGCCAGTATCGTATAGTGGCTGCAATTGTGTGGTGTTTGGAATTCTGGGGACTTTTCAGAGGGTAAATGTTAGAGCCCCGAGAGATGGTGTGGGTTGTTGATTGTTGGTAGAGGTTTGTTAAGTAGTCGAGCACAAAGAAGATGAAAAGTCAGACAGTGGTGGCACACGCCTTTAGTCCCAGCACTTGGAAGGCAGAGACAGGCAGATTTCTGAGTTTGAGGCCAGCCTGGTCTTCAGAGTGAGTTTCAGGACAGCCAGGGCTACATAGAGAAACTTTGTCTTGAAAAACCAAAAACCAAAAAAACAAAAAACAAAAAAAAAAGAAAAAAGAAGAAGGTGAAAAGAGGGAGGAGGAAGGAGGGAGAAGAGGAAGAGGAAGAAGAAGAAGAGGAAGAGGAGGGGGAGGAGGAGGAGGAGAAGAAGAAGAAGGAGGAGAAGGAGGAAGAGGGGAAGAAGGAGGAGGAGGAGGAGGAGGAGGAAGAGGAGGGGGAGAAGAAGAAGAAGAAGCAGCAGCAACAGGAAGTCATCTAATGATAATGTTGCCCCCTTTCCCCTCTATTCTTTTTTCTTTCCAATCAAGTGTTAGGGGTTGAAAGGGTAGGAAAAGGGTAGAGAGGGTGCAAGAAAGAGGAACCCAAAGTAGCAAAGACAAGCTAAACCTCTACTGACATTTTCCTTTTACCCCAGCAGAAATCTACATGAAAGAAAAGGTAGTTATGACCTGTTTTAGGATAAAGCTTAGAGAAGAGACCCGACACTACACTAAAAATTCCCAGTTGTAAGGGCAACTCAAACAGGAAAAGAGCAATCTAGTTATGCACAGAAGCTCCTAAAATTCCTAAGAATAATTAGAACAGATTCTATGGCTACTTTATTTACCATTTTTAACTTATTTTGTACTTACTTATTTTAGTTACTTTCCTTGTTGCTCCAACAAAAATACCCAGGCTGGAGAGATGGCTCAGTGGTTAAGAGCACTGACCGCTTTTCCAGAGGACCTGAGATCAATTCCCAGCAACTCATGGTGCTGCAACGGGGTCTGATGCCCTCTTCTGGTGTGTCTGAGAGATCAATGGTGAACTTATATACATAAAATAAATACATCATTTAAAAATTACCCAAGCAAAGCAACTTAAAGGGTTTATTCCATCCAGGCAGCAGGTCCGGGTGGCAAGAGCTAGCAGCAGTTAGTCAGGAAGCAGAGTATGATGAGTACGCAGAATCAACAAACTTAATCCTTTGTGTGTAGTCCAGTACCCAAGCCTAGGGAATGACACTGCCTTTTTTTTTTTCATACCTTGGGGTTGTTCTCTTTTTTTTTTTTTTCCTTCCCCTTCCCTTCTCCCTCTTGCTCTGGCCCCACTCGCTCTGGCTCTGCTCGCTCCAACCCAAAGTATACTGTAGCTGTCTTCAGACACCCATATGAGGGCATCAGCTCTCATTACAGATGGTTGTGAGCCACCATGTTGCTGGGATTTGAACTCATGACCTCCTGAAGAGCAGTCAGTGCTCTTAACCACTGAGCCATCTCACCAGCCCAACACTGCCTTTTTTTTTTAGGGTGGATCTTCCCACTTCTGTGAGCCTAATCTGGATAATCCTTCATAAATGCAGTCAGGGGTGTGGTGACTCATAGTCCCTTCCTTGCCAAAAAAAACCTCTCAAAATTCATATACTGTGTTTGTCCACAGTGTCTATTATTCATTTCAAACGTTACATTTATTCTGCTTGATAGACACTTTTATTCCTGTGCTAAGGCACATTGTTCTAGGAGTAACACACTAATAGGAAGAGAATCACACTGGCAGAACAGCAGCCTCCAGGTTTGTAAGATGTTTGCCACTGGGAGTCTCTTAAGATGGCAGGTTAAGTGCCCACAGCCAGGTAACTTACTGGTCTCAAGTCTCAGGAAAGATGGTGGGACAAGGCTCTGATCAGATTGGATTCACACCAGAGAGATGGTAGGCAGCCTGGAAGCCTCCATTGCAAAGTTCTTTGCTCATTGCCATCCCTAGTGGCCTCCTCTTCCTGAGAATCTGTGATAGGGACATCACTATCACCTGACTAGGAACCTCAACACTCCCCATGTATGTTTTTCACGGAGTTATGCTCTGTTCTCGTGCTCTCTCTACCCAGCCACACTCCCATTGGGGTGGACCTGTCATGAACCATCTCCTCCTTGCCTTCCCACACCACCCGAGTCCCCATGCTGTTTGTCAGAAGCATCTTTCAGAACTACAGCTCAAAAGAGCCATTTCCCTCAAACTCCCTAGTGACCTCCTACAGCCTAAGATTGGGATCCTGAGCTAAAGGCCCCAGTGGCCAGCCAGGAGTCGGAAGCCAGAGAGGGGAGTTTTGTACATGCCACATTTAGTCTTCATTAGCTCCGCTCCCTGCCCATATGCTTGGTCTCACTTTTATTTTTGAAACTATAATCCTCTTGGCCAGTTCATTTTTCTGGCTTTTATAAGGTACAGAACACAGAGGTCCACATACTAAAGCGACATCATTCATTGAGCCAGGGCTGGGGGTATGGGAGTAGTGGAGGGGAGTGGTGGACTAAAGAAACTATATCCTTCAGTGATGGGGTTCCAGCCTGTTACTGCTGTGTGGAAATGCTGGGAAATGCTGACCTGATGGTGACAAATATTATTCCATGAGGGGTAATTTCCTATCTGAAGCACAGGAAAATAATCTTCAACTGGAAACCATAGCCTGAGTTATTCTTCCATATTGGTCGAGTCTACCCTGGGATAGCTCCTAAGAATAAGAATCTTGCATTATCTAGTAAAACACCAGATCGGGTCCTCTTTCAACATTTTCCCTTCAGAGCATCTTTCCTGCAGATCCCTGTGCCATATCTACCTGTAGGAACATGCTGAATTTAAGATAAAATCTTCCTTAACCCCTAAAGAAATCCATTTACTCTCCACCTTCTTTCCCATACTCTGGGTAACCCTGAACTGTGAGTCTCTGGACATTCTGTCAAAATAGAGTTTAGCCAGGCAGTGAACACCTTTAATCTTAGCACTCAAGAGGCAGAGACAGGAAGATCTCTTGTCAGTTTGAGGCCAGCCTGGTCTACAGAGTGCATTTCAGGTCAGCTGGGGCTACAGAAGTTTGGTCATGTTGTATTATGTATTAATATACCAATTATTTTATTCATTTTGTATTTTTAAAAATAAATTATTTTTATGCACATTGGTGATTTGACTACATGTATGTCTTTGTGAGGGTGGAACAGGAGTTGCAGACAATGGTGAGACACCATGTGAGTGCTGAGAATTGAACCCAGTCCTTTGGAAGAGCAGCCAGTGCTCTTAACCGCTGAGCCATCTCTCCTCTTGTCTCTAAAAGGAATCTCATCATGTAATTCTGGCTGGCTTGGAACTCACTAAATGGTCCAGACTGGCTTTAAAGAGATTACAGAGATTCATTTGCCTCTGCCTCCCAAGTTGGGAGTAAATGCATGTACCACTATCCGTAGCTTTCTTTCTTTCTTTTCTTTTCTTTTTTTTTTAATTCTGTCATGTTTCCCCCTCACCCCCTTTACCCATTTATCAGTTGATTGACATTTGAGCTTCTTATTTTTTTTTTTGGCTTTGTGAATAAATATTCATTTGTGTACCAATTTTTGCAAGCACACAGGCCTCAGTTCTAGGAGTTCTAGGTATATACCAAAGAGTAGAATTGCTTGTTGGGAATCTATTCATGGGCACTGACTTGTGGTGCACACACTTAAGAGGTAGGAAAGGTTGTCTGCCTTGTCTCTTAGACAAAGGCTACCAAAGAACTTTTACACCTTAGCTACCTTGGTATGTAGACCAGGCTAGTCTTGAACTTACAGAGGTTCACTGCCACCTTCTGCCTCTCCAGTGCTGGGACTAAAGGCAGGAGCCACTATGTCCAGTTGTATACGAAATTTTAATCTAAATCAAAGGCACTGGTATTAAGTTTGTGAAAATGAATTGGTGTGCGAAACTTTCTGCATGTATTTTGGTACAAAGTACGAAAGGCTGGGCAACATGAACAACCGTTTATGATTATCAAGATTCATTTCTGCTTTGGACTCAATATTTGGCTCTTAGCTGAGAACTGAGTAATAAATGTCAAGCGGATACTCAGACTTTACTGGGTTTCATCCCTGTTTCTCTCTCCACACGTTTCTTGTCTCACTGGGAATCCCAGACCTCCTTGGAGTGGGCCCCACTTAAGTTGCCTACCGAGAACCTTTCTAGCTCTCGGGTTAACAGTGCTCAACTTTTGCCTTGTCCAGACGACCCAACAGATGGAGAAAAACATTAAGAGGTTAGGCGCTGGCTCTGGTGGTCCAGAGCGCATGCGCATCCCGGCCAGGTCCTGATTGCAGGATGGCGGGTGGGAGAGGGGGGCAAGTCAGCGACGCTCTAGAATCCGGAGGACTTGGGTCTCTGTGGTCACTACTCCGGGATAAGACGTCCAGGACTTCCGGCGCCGAAAGAGTGCGCAGCAAATCCCCTAGGAGATAAAGCTAACAAGGAAGGAAGAGGAGCCAAAAGAACTGGGAGGGTGCGGAGCCTGTTGCCTAGGTAACAAACCCTCCCCCCCCTTATCTCCGCCCCTTCTGCCCTGTGGTGCGAGTAGGCTCAGAAGTGCATACGAACTTGGTGGGGCCTTGCTCTCTTCCCCCCCCCCCAAGCTCCCGAGGCTGCTAGTACGCATGCGTGAGGGCATGGTGCGGGGCTGCGCGCGCACCCCTGAGGAGCGCGCATCACCCCTTGGGCGGCTCCCGCCGCGAGTGGGACAGCTGGGCGCGCGCGCGTGAGTGACAAGGGCGCGGCTTTCCCGTCCGGAAATTTTTGATTGGATAGAGTAAAAAGAAGGGGTGGGAACCTCTGCGAGAGCCGCTCAACGATTGGCTAAGGGCTGGAGGAGCGTGGTCCTGGGGCGGCTGGCGGCGGGGGGGGGGGGGGGGGCCCGCTTCGGCGCACGCGAGGCTTTGATAGTGGTCGCGGTCCTTGTTAAGTGAGCGAGCTCGGGGGAACACTCATCACTGTGTTGGCAAGACCCAGGAACCCCAAATCCCCCCAGGAGGCGTGGCGGCGAGGTGCCGGCCGCTCGGTGAGTGCGGTCCCGGGAGTCCCAGCGCCCCGCCCCTCCCTTTCTTCCGGGGCCGCGCCGCGCCCCCCTGGATCCTGGGCCGTGGGGGTTCTCTGTGCCAGCGTTCCCCTCTCGCCTGCTGTGCAGATCCTGCCTCCAAACCCACAGAGGGGGAACTGAGAGGCCCTCAGGACGATCTTCTCACCAGAGTCTCATATAGACCATGGCCGAACCGCTGAAGGAGGAGGACGGCGAAGATGGCTCTGGGGAGCCCCCTGGGCGGGTGAAGGCAGAACCCGTCCACACCGCTGCCTCTGTCGTGGCCAAGAACCTGGCCCTGCTCAAAGCCCGCTCCTTCGACGTGACCTTTGATGTGGGGGACGAGTACGAGATCATCGAGACCATAGGCAATGGGGCCTACGGGGTGGTGTCCTCGGCGCGCCGCCGCCTCACGGGTGAGCTGGCTTCCTGAGGCTCAGCATGTGTGGACTGCTTTCCAGAGGCGGTGAGGAACCCGCACGGTCCCAGGAGGATCAGCTGCACCGGGGATTCTGGTTCCACTCACGCTTACCGACTAGGTGCCAGCTTCCCGTTAGGTACCCTTCTCAGGAACCCTGCTTCTCCCAGTCAGCCTACTTTCTCCTTAGGAAAAGGATATCCCTGTAAGCCAGAATAGGGAGATACTCCTTGGTGTCCAAAAGAGATATGTTCCAGAGCCAGAGATCGGCACAATGGAGTGGTGGTGGAATGGGGAGGATCTGGGATGGAGTGACTAGGAGGGGGAGAGAGAGTGAATTTAGTAAAGTCACAACCACCACTAACTAGCTGTGCCTCCTCTGTATGTGAGCTATTAGTAGCTGCTTCATGAAGTAGTTGTGAAATTAAAATCTGATATATGTTACAGGGCCCTGCACACAGTAGGTACTTATTGCCATCTGGGTTCTAGAAGGGCAGTGCTGAAAGGGACCTGCAGTTAACTTGAAGGTACTCTCTGGTATATTCCCCTTTCCTGCTCTCCAGGCCAGCAGGTGGCCATCAAGAAGATACCCAATGCTTTTGATGTGGTGACCAATGCCAAACGGACCCTCAGGGAACTGAAGATCCTCAAACACTTCAAACACGACAATATCATCGCCATCAAGGACATCCTGAGGCCTACTGTGCCCTATGGAGAATTCAGATCTGTGTAAGGAATGGGGCAGGAGGAGGAGACAGGGTTGGGATTAGTGTTGAAGTCCAGGACCAGTAATACTGAAGTAGTGGAAGGGCTGTTGAACCCAGAGTGATGCAGGCTATGAGTCTTCTAAGACTCTGCCCCGTAGGACATTTGTAGCGACAGTTCTTATTTCTCAAGGAGAGGGTAAGGGCTGGGGTGTAGGTCAGTGATCGACTGATGAGCATCTTTGGGGTTTTAGGTTGACTCTCCTGTTCTAAAGGGAAAAAAAATTAAGAGAATTTACCTCCTTATGGACATGCCACCTTTGGTTATATAAGTTCACGGCCAGTCTGGACTATGTGAGACCTATTCCAAAAGACAAAATAAAAAACCTGAACAGCAATAGAGGGGTGGGGGACAGGGAGGACAGACAAGGCAGGTCCAAATTGCGTAAGACAGCAGACATAGTACATTGTAGTGTCACACAGCAGTGTCCTATTCTCATGACAGACAACTAATTGTTCACAGAATACCTTCTTAAAAATAGAATTTTTACCACAGTCTTTCAGAAGCTGTTGGCAAACTATAGAGTTTGCTTCAAAATTAACCATACTGGCCAATCTTGGTATATTTGAACATTCCTTTAAAAAAATGTTGTTTTTTTTTTTTTTTTACAGAGAAATTAAGTCCAAGGAAAAAGTGATTTTGTCAGAAAGCTATAAAATAGTTGTGGCTAGAAAAAATGATTCGGTGATTAAGAGCGCTTGCTCTTGCAGAGAGGGCTTGGCTTCAGTTCATAGTGTCTGCGTGGTAGCTAACTGACGTCTGTAACTCCAGTGTTAGGGGATCAGACTCCTTCCTGCCTCTGTAGACCGAAGGCACGTGAGTAGTACACATATAGTCAGGGAAACATACACATAAGTTTAAAAAAACTTTCATAAAAGTTGTAGCCAGGCAGTGGTGGTGCACGCCTTTAATCCCAGCGCTGGGGAGGCAGAGGCAGGCGGGTCTCTTGAGAGTTTTGAGTCTACAGAGCAAGTTCAACAGATAAGGCTACACAGACATCTCATCTTGGAAACCCCCCCCCCAAAAAAAAAAAAGTTGTAGAAAATCTGGAATCTGGTGCTGTTTTTTCGTTCCATGCTGCTAGTCCTTTGGGGTCTTACTGTAAGGCCATAACCTCAGGAATTGGGCGTGCCAGGGGGTGAGGCTTCTCCCTGTAATGTAAGGAGGCTAGCTCACTGGTTTGTCCCCATTTCCAGCTATGTGGTACTGGACCTCATGGAAAGTGACCTACACCAGATCATCCACTCCTCACAGCCACTCACACTGGAACATGTGAGATACTTCCTGTACCAGCTGCTTCGGGGCCTCAAATACATGCACTCTGCTCAGGTCATCCACCGTGATCTTAAACCCTCCAACCTTCTGGTCAATGAGAACTGTGAGCTCAAGATTGGTGACTTTGGAATGGCCCGTGGCCTGTGTACTTCCCCTGCCGAGCACCAGTACTTCATGACTGAGTATGTGGCTACTCGCTGGTACCGTGCCCCTGAACTCATGCTCTCCCTGCATGAGTACACACAGGCTATTGACCTCTGGTCTGTGGGCTGCATCTTTGGTGAGATGCTGGCTCGGCGCCAGCTCTTCCCAGGCAAAAACTACGTGCACCAGTTACAGCTGATCATGATGGTGTTGGGAACTCCATCCCCAGCAGTGATTCAGGCTGTGGGGGCTGAAAGAGTGAGAGCCTATATCCAGAGTCTGCCACCAAGGCAGCCTGTGCCTTGGGAGACCGTGTACCCAGGTGCTGACCGCCAGGCCCTTTCGCTACTGGGACGGATGTTGCGATTTGAACCCAGCGCCCGAATCTCAGCTGCAGCTGCCCTTCGCCACCCCTTCCTGGCTAAGTACCATGACCCTGATGATGAACCTGACTGCGCCCCACCTTTTGACTTTGCTTTTGACCGTGAAGCCCTTACCAGGGAGCGCATTAAGGAGGCCATTGTGGCTGAGATTGAGGACTTCCATGCACGACGGGAGGGCATCCGCCAACAAATCCGCTTCCAGCCTTCTCTGCAGCCTGTGGCTAGTGAGCCTGTGTGTCCAGATGTTGAGATGCCCAGTCCCTGGGCTCCAAGTGGAGACTGTGCCATGGAGTCACCTCCTCCAGCACTGCCACCATGCTCTGACCCTGCCTCTGACACCGTTGATCTGACTCTGCAGCCTGCCCCTCCAGCCAGTGAGCTTGCTCCACCAAAGAGAGAGGGCGCCATCTCCGACAATACCAAAGCAGCCCTCAAAGCTGCCCTGCTCAAGTCCTTGAGGAGCCGGCTCAGAGGTGGTTTGTAGGCCCAGCAGCTGGGTGGGTAGTGGAATGGTAGACGAGGATTCTGGGACGAAACTGTGAGCCATTACCTTTCCCTTGTCCAACTTTCCTGCAGATGGGCCCAGTGCACCCTTGGAGGCTCCCGAACCTCGAAAGCCTGTGACAGCTCAGGAACGCCAGCGAGAGCGGGAAGAGAAGCGCAGGAGGCGACAGGAGAGAGCCAAGGAGCGGGAGAAGCGACGACAAGAGCGAGAGCGCAGGGAGAGGGGGGCTGGTACCTCGGGGGGCCCCTCTACTGACCCTCTGGCTGGACTGGTGCTCAGTGACAATGACCGAAGCCTGCTAGAGCGGTGGACTCGCATGGCTAGGCCTCCTGCCCCAGCCCCTGCCCCTGCCCCTGCCCCTGCCCCTGCCCCTGCCCCTGCCCCTGCCCCAGCCCCAGCACCAGCACCAGCCCCAGCCCCAGCACCGTCCTCTGCCCAACCCACTAGTCCTCCCACTGGCCCCGTATCTCAGTCTACTGGTCCCCTACAGCCTGCAGGCTCTATTCCTGGTCCTGCCTCTCAGCCTGTTTGCCCACCCCCTGGCCCTGTTCCCCAGCCTTCTGGCCCTATCCCTGCCCCTCTCCAGACTGCCCCTTCCACTAGCCTTTTGGCCTCCCAGTCACTTGTGCCACCTAGTGGGTTGCCTGGTTCTGGTGCCCCAGAAGTTCTGCCTTACTTCCCATCTGGCCCACCACCTCCAGATCCTGGGCTCACCCCTCAGCCTTCTACATCAGAGTCACCTGATGTCAACCTGGTGACCCAGCAGCTGTCCAAGTCTCAGGTGAGAAGAGAGAAGGCCTGGGATATCTTGATCTGGGCCTGGAAGGTGGGTTGGGTAGTTGTCCATGCTGGATGAGAGGAAGCAGCAGAGGGAGGCTTCCCTCCTTGAGCCCGCCCCCTTGCTCACAGAAGGAACATAGAAGGCCAGTGTAGAGGCTGTTGGGAGGTAGACGCTGCTTAGAAGATGTCTGCCTTAGAGTCAGTGCTCATGCTCTGGGCTATCTGGGCAGAGCAGTCAGGAATAGCAGGCTGTGTCCTGCTGACCTCATTTTGTCCTTCCTGGCACCTGTTTTATAACCTGTTATTGTCCCCTACAGGTGGAGGACCCCCTGCCTCCCGTGTTCTCAGGCACTCCGAAGGGCAGTGGGGCTGGCTATGGTGTTGGCTTTGACCTGGAGGAATTCTTAAACCAGTCCTTTGATATGGGTGTAGCTGATGGGCCACAGGATGGGTAAGATGGCCGCACTGAGCTGTAATGGAGGGTCTAAATGGCTGCTCAGCCAGCCCAGGCTGAGAACACCCATTCCTATCTCCTTTCCTTACAGCCAGGCAGACTCAGCCTCACTCTCAGCCTCCCTCCTTGCTGACTGGCTTGAGGGCCACGGCATGAACCCTGCTGACATTGAGTCTCTGCAGCGTGAGATCCAGATGGACTCCCCAATGCTGCTGTCTGACCTGCCTGACCTCCAAGAGCCCTGAAACCCACAACGTGTGCCTTGCTGCCAGGACAGACCCAGCTTCAAGGTCCAGGGGTACAATCCCGAGGGCTGCAGCCTTGGGCCTGGCAGGTGAGGCTCAGCTTGAGTTACTCTGCAGGTTCATCTCAGACCCACCTTACAGCCTTAAGCAGCCACCTGAGCCACCACCGAGCCATACAGGATTGGGAGACTCTACTCCTCCCTGAGCACTCTTCTCCAGTATTGTATTTTTTACTATTGTTGTAATATGCGTTTGTTTTGCCATCAAAATGAGGCCTGTGAAATACAAGGCTTCCTTTAACCTGACTCTGTGTGTCATTTTTGGAGTTGCAGTAAAAACACCAACAGTAGGGGAATAAGGAAGAGCCAGGTGCTTGGATTTGGAGCCAAGTAAATGTTTGTCCACAAAGCCAGTCTGTCAGATCCTGAAGGTTTATTGAGACCTCTACTTCCTGCCCATTCCCAGCCCCACAGGTTATTCTCTGCTGCCTCCCATGACAACCCCTAGGGCAAGTAGGGGACCAAGTCAACAAGCCTATCTTTGCCATGGCTACTTCAGAGCAGCTATGGTGAGTATTGTTTTGGTGTTGAATTTTGAGGGATGAGTGAGGGCAGGTGGAGTTGGGCTCCATGATCCCCACTTAGGGAGTAAGTTGATGAGACTAAGGTAGGAAGTATTCTGAGGGGAGCTATGCGAGTGCTGGGGTGTGGCAGTGGCCATGCAGGAGCTGATTGGCAATGCCATAGGTGCTGCAATACTCTGTCAAGGGTAGCCTCAAACAGACAGGTCTACAGTAAGGAAACTGCTTAGGTGGAATGCATAAACTGGCAGCTAGAAGGTAGCTTCTGGCTTTCAGCTATCGTGAAGGGGTAGAAGCAACTTGGAATTTTTATGGATTCCAGCCAGATCCAGGCTTGGATAGCTTGGCCACAGAAAGGCCTGGAGGGCTGCTGACAGCCTAGCCTCAGGTAGAATGCAACAGGACCTGGCTGTATGTGGGACAGGGATTTGCCAGGGCATAGCTGGTGCTCAGGAATTGTGGGTAGGGCATGGAGGGAGAACACGGAGACTTGGGACTTCCAAGGGAAAGATGGGACCTGCTTGGGCCAGCCCCTCAGGCCCGACGAATTTTCATCTCAGTGCGCTTGAGGGAGTAGTAGAAGCCTTTCCACTGGGCCCAGTTGATGCCATTGGCATAGGAGAGATGGGACCCTCCCAGATAGAAGCCGTTGAGATTGGCGAAATGGCAGCTTCTGAACCAGAAGGCTCCTGAGGAGAGGGCTGCACAGTTCTGCACAAAGAGGTCCTGATCTCGATCAAAGGTGGAGAACTTCTGGCCACTGTGGTAGGACAGTGAGTCACCTGGCAAGAGGGAGGAAGACTAGAAAAACTGAGGCCAGGAGCTGAGAGGGCAACAGCAGTTGATGAATGACACTTGGAATGGCATGATGTGGCATCGTATCGGATGGGGGCACCCTCTCTGAGCCACAATGAGAACAGATGTTCTTCTGCAGGGCTGCCTGGAGCAGGGCCACTTGGAGCAAAGCCAGGGTGGCTGTCCCCTGGGGCTGAGGTTCTTGTAGTTGGAGTTAGCCTGCCTGCCGAGGGCTATGGCTCGTCCACACCCAGAAGGGTTGAAGGAGGGGCCTTAAGGAACCAATGGAGCAGGGCTAATCCTACGTTATTGACCCCACCCCCTACCCCTGCCACTGCCCCTGAAGAAGCCGAGAGGGGTACCTGCCCCGCCATCTTCGAAGCCAGCCACATAGAGGGTATAGCCATCCTCCTCAGCGCTGACCGCATTGGGGGAGATGGAGAAGTCAACGTATTTGGCATAGGCTGTGTTGTTCTCAAAATCTTCCAAGTCCACGCGCAGCTCATACTTCTGCTTCAGTGTCAGGAGGTGCAGGTTCTGTAGCCCTAGGGAGGGGTGGAGTTGGTCAGCAAAGACTTGGCTGAGGGGCAGCCCCCACCCCATGGCCCCACCTTACCCAGCCAGTACTCCCCGTCAGCACGGCCAAAGCCCAGCTTGTAGTCGTTCCAGCCCCGGAAGAAACTCACTGAGCCGTTGAATCTTTTCTGGAAAACCTGGAAACAAGTGGACAAGGGGCTGGATGATGAAGGTCCAGTACCCTCGGGTGACTCTGAGCCAGTTTATAAGGGACTTTAGTAGGTATTAGGAAGCTGCAAAGACAGAACACACTCTGGCTCCAGGCCTCTCAGTGAACATCTGCTGCTGAAAAGGGGGTACTTACCAGGCCTCTTGTCCACTGAGAGACAGGAATGGGAAAAGATTAAGGGGGAGTTGGGGCCTATAGACACAGCTTAGTGGCAAAGCACCCACCTAGCCTAGAGGCCCTGGGTTCCATCCCAGCACTCCATGATAAAAGCAGCAGGAGGATCTAGAATACCTGGCTGTGAGTTCTGGTACTGTGCGGCCCAAGGCTAACAATGTTACTTGTCTGGGCTCACAGTTCCTCATTTAGAAAAGGCACCTACCTACCCTTTGAGGACAGCTGGCGTTAACCTTCTCAAGCACGAAAGTGTTAGCGGCCCTGGATCCAGTCCCCATAAAGAAGCCCACTTCACAGAGATGACATCCGGGATCGTGCAGCTGTCTGAACCCCATCTGGCCTGAGGCTCCTTTGCCTACTCACCGTCCACTTGCCGCCCTCGGTTGTCATGTCACAGAAGACTGGCACTGGCACACTGGGGCCATAGGGGTAGATGAGGTACACACCGTCTTCCTGATAGCCCTGGGCGTAGATATCATCACAGTCCAGGGGTTGCTGAAGACAGGACTTCTCCAGAGCTGCGAGTGTCAGTGTGGGGACCGTGAGGAGAAAGACTAAGGCATAAGGACACTTCCGTATCCCAGTTTTGCTCCAGGGCTAGGGGGACCCTGTCATGAGAAATCTGGAGATTTCTCGAGGGGGATACCTGCCACTTTGTAGAGGGGCAAACAGTCCTGCAGAACCTGACTTAGAATGGTCTCATCCAGCCTGCTGACCAGGCCATGTCTGTGAGTGGGGGCCGCTTACCATCTCCCCGGATCCCGGAGGCTTGCGGGGTACAGGGAGGAGGCATGGAGAGCAGCAGCAGCAGCAGTGGCAGGGCTCTGAGGGTCTGGTGATGGGAAATGGGATGAGTGTAACCCCCATCATGGGCCAGACACCTCCCAGGGCCCTCCCTGCCCAAAACCTGCCCTCTGTCTTTTTCCCCCCCTCTACTTTCTGAGGAAGGCCCAATATCCCCAGAACTCAAGTTTCAAGGGAACCCCACTATGCTTCTCTGTTCCCTATCTGGCAAGAGGCTTGTCTCCACAAATGGTCTTGATCCTCCAGGCTAGTACCTTCATGTTGTCAGCTCAGTTGAGAGAGGCTGGCTGTCTGGGGCCCCAGACTGCAGCCGCCCACAGTTATGTGTTGGGTCTGAGCCCACAGACCCAGCTCCGCCCCTGGAACTGTAGAATGCCCCCCACCCCCGCCCCAACAACCAGCCCCTAGCATCAGTTTACAATGTCAGGGGCCAGAGGACCACCTGGGTCTCATTAGGCCTGTCAGGGAAGTACTCCGAGCCAGACATTAACTCCTTACCAGCTGCAACTGCTCCCTGGACCCCACTCTGCTTCCTGCCCTGCTGGACTTGTGGGCCCTTTGGCAACCCCAGCTGGCCTCTGGCCCCCCCCCCCCCCCTGCTTCCTAGCAGGCCCTCTGCAGATGTCTGCTTGTCCCCATTCCTTAACCAGTCTGCTCAGTCAGCTCTTTGGGGAGGGGAGGGATGGAGTTATTCCTAGAACTGAGATAGGGGTCTCCACTTGGGAATGGCAAGGCTAGGAGAGGCAGCCCCAAAGCTCCTGATGTGGGAGCTGCCTGGCCTGGTAGGAGACAGGGCCAGCAGGGGCTCCAAGTCTCCTGGCAAGTTTGGGACATTTCTGAGCCATGAGCACAAAGCTGCAGGCGGCCAGCAGTTCTGTCTGCCTCCACTGGAGCCAGGGCCCGCTCCAACTCCTTCCCGGCCCCCTCCCCTGCTGTGTGTCTGTGCCCCCACCCTTTCCCCTCCTACAGTTCCCTGGCCCATCTGGGGTGCTTTTGTTTCTCCTTGCTCTGCCCCTCCTCCCTTCCAAGCCCATCTGCTTTCAGGGCTGAGCCTCTCAAACCCTTTCTCCTTCCAGACTGAGCCCACTGCTGTGTTCCGTGTCCACCTCAAGCCTGGTTTCTGAGTGCCTCCCGCCATCCTGGCCACCCAGCCTCTTCTGCTTTTGTTCTCTCCTCCCTCCATCCTCTGTATGCTGGAAGAGTGTTCCAGGTGCCTGGTCTGTGTTCCCCTTTTTAAGCCTCCAGTGGCTCTCCATTCCCTCAAGACAAGCCAACATTTCCCCCTGGGACTTGAAAGGAATTACCAGTCTGGCTCTGCCTCCCTTCAAGACTGTGTTCCTTGCTGCTTGACTCCCACACTTTGTCTAGCTACCCAGACTTCTGGCCAGCAGGTCCCTGGGCCTTTGCCTGGGCTGTTCCTCGAGACGCCCACTGGTCTTTCTTTTTGTCCGTGAGTGAGTGCTAGTGGGCAGTGCTATTGTCTTCCATTTTTGCGCACTCAGCACCCATCATAAAGGACAGATGTTTTTTGAGCACCTACTACGTGTTATACAATACATTTGCTGCTGGGGATGCAGAATCAGCCCCTGGAGTGGCCAACGTGTTTTGGACAATGAACCAAAATGCCTGGAAGGAACACAAATGTAACAGGTGAACATGTGAGGTGTCCAGAGCAAAGAGATGGCTTAGATCTCTCTCTGCAGCCCTGGAGGAGAAGAACCCCACTGGGCCTCCTTGACATGGAGTGTGGCTGCTAGTTAGAGTTTGTAGTTGTGTTGAGCCTTGGGGGTTCCAGAGCTAGCTGCGAGTGTTGAAATACATGTCCCACTGTCTTAGAAGTTGGAATAACTTGGGCATATTCCTCCGTGCCTCAGTTTCTTCCTCTGTGGAATGAGGATACTACTCCTTGGAGGTGTGGTGAGGGTTCAGTACCATGTAACATGTACCAGGAACAGTGCCCACACCTACTTGTCCAAAAGAGAAATCTTAACCTAATTAAACTCAATGTGAATTTATTTGAGCAATTATAAACAAAGCAACACAAAACAAAAGTGATTTGCGAATCGGGCGGTCCAAGGCGGATTCAGACAACTCCCAGTAATAATAGGATCTGACAGCACTTAGAGGGAACGAGTGTGTGTGCAGAGGCCGCTTAATTGGTTACAGCTTAGTTGGGTGATTGGTTTCAGAGCTGCCCGCTGAAGCCA